TGTTCCCATTCCACTGTGTTTTCACTCTGGATTTTCCACGGACTGGCTGGAAAGTCTTGAAATATAGATAATACTGTTTTCTCATGGATTACAATATAATATCAATAAACCATTTGTTATGTATCTGCCTACGTTTCCACAATTGTTAGCTACCCTGTACTATTCTCAATTAATCAGATTAACCAAAACTTTTATTTTTCAACCATGGGTAGATAATTATTTTGAGGTGCACTGAGGCAAGTTGGCCTCCATATTTCTGGTTCGAGGAAGTCTGAGATTTCTCTGTACCTAATAATACACATTTATTGTACATATGGAAGAAAAAGAGAAAGACAGACTGGTACGTGGTCTACAGCAGTCAAGGAAGTGTTGTTGCTTTCAGAAGAGTGCATGTTAGTGCATGTTCACTACTCAGGCATGTTCAACCCTTTGTGACCCCTTTGGACTGTAGCCTCCCCGGCTTCTCTGTCTATGGGATTTTCATACTAGTAACCTACCCCTATTATTGCTTTCGAAACAGGGCTGAAAGTTGAAATTGGCTAGCACAGTACTGGTTGGTACAATCCACCACTGTTGAAAGATATTATTTTATAAAATAATCTTTGTTACTATTTCCTAACTTTTTAAAAATGCAGATATAGAAAAAATACAAAAATATTGAAGGGTAAATAAGTTGCCAGTAATCCCATCACTGAGAGATAGTTACTGTTAATAAACAGGTTAAAAGGTAAAGATGGTATATAATCAGTGTATTGGCTACATCATGGCTTCACTATTTCTCTGTCCAAATTCTCAATATTTTGATGAGTAGTGCATATTGTTCCCCTTCTCTCCTCTCCCTAGTCTCCAGATTAGGGTTACTAGAGGAAGTAGGGCCAGCAAGAGGTTTTGTTTTAAACTGTTTTGAGCTGGAAGTCTTTGCATCCTTAGGCTGCATTCTTAGCACTGTAAGTTTCCTAGTGCAGACTTTAAGGCTTCTGTTGAGACATGGCAGGACATGTTGCCAACACATCCTCAGGAGGTAATACCAATTTGTGTCCCTTCCACTTGAGTCTGGGAACACCTGTCTCATACACCTGTGCTAGATGTATGCATGTTAGTTTTTGTATTACTTGGTAAAATGCATGGATAAGTACACATGAAGGGATAAAAAGACATTTGGGGGTTTTTGTCTCAAAGTTTTCTAAATAAAGAGCAAATGGATGTGATCACACGAGAAGTGCCTCATCCTCCTTGCATCCAGTTTACCAGCCTTCATACTTTGTGCCACATAGTTTGTCTTCCTTGCATGACAGTGGATGAGCCCTCACTTGTTCTTATTGTTTAGTCGCCACGTCATGTCCAGTTCTTTGTGACCCCATGGACTGCAGCACACCAGGCATCCCTGTCCTTCACTCTCTCCCAGAGTTTGCCCAAACTCATGTCCGTTGAGTTGGTGATGCCATCCAACCATCTCATCCTTTGTCATCTGCTTCTCCTCTTGCCCTCAATCTTTCCCAGCATCAGGGCCTTTTCCAATGAGTCAGCTCTTTGCATCAGGTGGCTAAAGGATTGGAGCTTCAGCTTCAGCTTTAGCATCAGTCCTTCCAGTGAATATTCTGGACTGATTTCCTTTAGGATGGACTGGTTGGATCTCCTTGCAGTCCAAGGGACTCTCAAAAGTCTTCTCTAGCACCGGAGTTCAAAAGCATCAATTCTTTGGTGCTCAGCCTTCTTTATGGTCCAACTCTCATATCCGTACATGACTACTGGAAATAGCTTTGACTAGACGGACATTTGTGGGCAAAGTGATGTCTCTGCTTTTTAATATGCTGTCTAGGTTTGTCATAGGTGTTCTTGTTCTTACCTGAGGCCAATACTTCTCTCTCCATATGTGAACTAGATTCACAGACTCTCTCATTCCTTCAAGAACTGTGTTCTTTTTCTCCTGGTGCCTTATTAATTTCTCACTTTCTATGGATGATTCTCATCAGCATAAAATCATGCCTTAGATGGCTCATCTTTAAAACCAAGCCAAACAAGAAGTGTCCTCTACTCCTGGCCCCACTTCAGCTATCATCCCCCCTCCTTGCCCCTTCACAGTAAAACTATGTTGACTTGTGTTTATTCATTTTTTCTTTTCCCATTGTCTCCTCAACCCACTGCAGCAACATTGATCCTTTTAAAGTATAATTTTCAAAAGGTATAAAACTTGGATGCTGTGTAAAGATAAAATACATGTCAAATATCTTATTCAATTAACTGATAATAGAACTAGTAGGATAAGACCAGTTCAAAGGAGACTTTGAACAACAAACATAGATGTAAATGGTTGGATATAATGAAATGCATTTGCTAGTAGAAGGGAAACTGGTTAATATCCTGTAGGACAGTAAAGTGTTATTTGAGAGGGCCATCTTTTCTGCAAGTTGAAAATTAGTTACATCATTTCAAGACAAAATTTATTTTCACTGCTGTCAATAAGAGTCATTTGCATGGCTTCCCTTTCTTGTGGCTTAACTTCGTACAAGTTGTAAAATAGCCTAGTCAGGAGGTCAGTCAAAAGAGGACACCCTGTACAAATGAACTTATCTACAAAACAGAGGCGGAGTTACAGACGTAGAAAACGAAACTTATGATTACCAGGGGTAAAGGGCAGGGGCGGGAAGGATAAATAAGGGGATAGGGATTGACATACACTGTGCTTAGCCTCTCAGTTATGTCCGACTCTTTGCAACCCTTTGGAAGGTAGCCCACCAGGCTCCTTTGTCCATGGGATTTTTCAGGCAGAATGCTGGACTGGGTTGCCATTTCCTCTTCCTCCAGGAGATATTCCTGACCCAGGGATCAAACCCACGTCTCTTGTGTCTGCTGCATTGCAGGCAGCTTCTTGACCCGCTGAGCCACTGGGGAAACCCTATATACACACTATTGTTGAAGTCGCTCAGTCGTGTCCGACTCTTTGCGACCCCATGGACTGTAGCCTACCAGGCTCCTCCGTCCATGGAATTCTCCAGGCAAGAGTACTGGAGTGGGCCACCATTGCCTTCTCCATATATACACACTGCTGTATATAAAATAGATAACTAATAAGGACCTATTATATAGCACAGGGAACTCTTTTCAATATTCTGTGATAACCTATATAGGAAAAGAATCTAAAAAACGGTGGATATGTGTATATGTATAATTGATTCTCTTTGCTCTATACCTGAAACTAGCACAACACTGTAAATCACTTATACTCAAATTTAAAAAAAATTAAAATCTTAAGGAAAAAAACCCTATAAAATCAGATAATCCCTGAGCTTTCTCTGACGATTATGTCCAGCACCACCCTGATGCTGGAAAAGATTGAGGGCAGGAGAAGGGGACGACAGAGGATGAGATGGTTGGATGGCATCACCGACTCAATGGACATGGGTTTGGGTAGATTCCGGGAGTTGGTGATGGACAGGGAGGCCTGGCGTGCTGCAGTTCATGGGGTTGCAAAGAGTCAGACACGACTGAGTGGCTGAACTGAACTGAACCCGAAAATAATATCCAGTAATTTGTTTTGCCTATTTCTAAGTCTCAGACAATTTTTCTTGACAATCTCTACTGTCCCCATGACTTTCTTGCCTAAGCTAATGGTCTTCTGCCCCTCATCTGAACTGAACTTTTAGCAAAATTTGTATGATCAAATGCTCATTGAAAGACTTCTACATACTTTGGTACACCCCAGTCACCTGATGTCCTCCCATCTCTTGTCCGCTCTTGAGTCTCTGGCTGGCCCAGCTTCCTCTAGTAACCCTTTCGTTGTCAGGGTGCCCCAGTTTGTCTCCAGCCCTGCTCTCTCCCTGAGTTCCAGACTCTTAATTACCTATATGCACTGTTCAATTCTAGTCCTAAGCTCCCTCCCTACGCGGGAATCTTGTTGATGGGGTATGTATTCTTTTAAGATTTCTGATTTTAGCATAAGAGTAAGGTTAAAAGTTCTGTTTAGATTGGAATTTTGAGATAGGCAGGGCTTCTAGAGGCTGAAGAAAGGTTGTTGTCCCTGTTTTCCTCTATGCTTTATTTAGGGAGGCAGATTGATAGTCATAGGAAGTACCTTTTGTTTTTGGAAAACCAGAGAATACCTGGCAGAACTCCAGACAAATAGTGAGAGACTGGCTTCTTCCAAGGCAGCCAGCGGGAGAGGGAAGAAGACCACCATCATTAGCTCTGTGGCTGCAGACGAAGTCATTTCATCACTAGGGGCTGGGTTTCCTGACTTTTCGGGTTGTTGGGAAGATAAAAGATAAGATGCCTGGCACAGCACCTGCTGTGTAATAAATGGTCAATAAGTGGTAGCTGCTTTGACTAGAAGGACTCATTCACTGTGGAAGGTAAGCAGAATTACCTGATGGAAGAATGGATGCAGGAACTGTAGTTTTTACTTCCAGGTTTCCTCAAGCCAGTCGACCACCTTAAACGAGAAAGTGGGGTTCTCATGTCTAGTTGAAGAGTAAAGGTTTTGTGGAGGTTTAGAACTTATGGCACTGAATCTCTTGGGAGTCTAAACATCATAAAATTGTGTTATGTGAGGTATACCATTGCATTGGGAAGTTTTCAGACTTTCTTTTAACTCTGTTGAGCTGGAAGGCATCTCTTAAGCAATGATGGGATCTGTTGCAGTAGAAACGAGCTGTGATCTGTATCTTGATCAAGGGGAGCAGCCAAATGTAAAACTGTATCAGGCTGCACATGTATCTGTGCTCTGCGTGCATTTCATAACTCAATTAAAAAGGAAAGAGAGAAAGGGGCTACATTGTATGCACCTTTATAAAAGATTGTTGTTCTCAGGTTTGACTCAAAAAAACCTTGCACAGCAGAGGTGAAGCTGGGGGAGTGATGGTACCGCTAATGTGAAAATGTCCATATAGCACATTTATTTAGAGAAATAATCATTGGCATAATTAATATAATGCCGTGATCTTAGAATGACTGATTTTGATTAATATCTATTTTCTTTATATTCTAGTAAATAAAAAATATCTATGGAGAACACTGAAAATTCAGTGGATTCAAAATCCATCAAAACTTCAGAGACGTGAGTATTTAAAAGGAATCTCATACCAGCAGAGGAGGGTGGGTGTGTGTCATATTATACAGCAAACTCTGAGGAAGCAGAAAGAATTGGGGCTTTCAAACCAGAGAGGCCCAGATGACTTCTTACCTCATGTGACAGCTGTGTGACTGTACGCATGTTAAATTATCCTCTCTGAATCTCCTTAAAATAAAACTTGGATAGAATATGGGGAGGTTGGAGGGGGCCTGACCTGTGGTTGGAGACCCCGCCCTAGTAGCAGGATGACCCTGGAGAGGCAGTTGCACCTTCTCGAATCTCCACAGGATAAGAGGTTTTGTTTTGGGGGTTTTGGCCTCCTGTTTATGAGTTTTAAGGCTAAGGTAAAATGCGAGTTCTCAGTCTGGGGAATAATTGCCTGGTTATAGATTATCTTTCCCCCTTTTTTGTTTCCTTCCCAGTCTTCCTTTTTGGAATATTTTGCTTATTAATACTTCAATAACCAATAGATGGAGAAAAGGAAAAGATAAACACTCTTAATTTAATCCATGTCTGTTATTATCCCTTTGGGATCTCTTGTGGTACATTTAATTCTAACAGTTTCTTTCTGAGGTACAGTATTATTGTTCTGGACCACCTAGGGAATTATAAATTAATTTTAGTACTAAACAGTACTGTTATAGCAGAGCTATTACTAGATTACTAATAAAGATTTTTGCAGTATTTGTTTAGCAAAGGAATTTGCCTAGAAATTAAACTATTGAAATGCAATCTCATTTTAGAGGGCTTTTTGGTGTTTTTCTTTTGCCTTTTTAAAAAACCCTTTTAAAGTTATTGACACATTTTCCTACCTTTTCCTGTCATACAGAGCGTAATTTACTACTTTAGGCTTTTTCCAACAATTTTTTTAAAAATTGCATATAACGTGAAATACTCCTAGGGTGAGTGTATGGATACATGAACAATAGGTATTAGTGTTTGGTTATTGTTTCCTGGCCAGGTCAGGGGGTCAGGCTTGTAGACTGTTTTGATCAAGTTTTATTGAAAACTAGCCACCCCTATTTAATTTACATACTGTCCTGGGCCACTTTCAGCAGCTGGATGAGGTGGCTAAGTATAAAATGTACTTAGTGAATTTTTAATAAAATGTAAAGGAAAACAATATAGAAATTAAAAGCACGAACCCTGTAGTTCAACAGATGCTTTCAGTCTTGTGTCTTACACAGGGTCTGCATAACTGTTAGCCTCTTAGTAATCACTTCCTTATCTGTGAAGTGGGTTTTTATGAAATTTTAGGGAGGAGAAAGCCTGCTGCACACAACCCGGCACTTATATTCAACAAATGTTAACTGTTCTTATGTGTTAGAGAAGTTTGTGTTCATGTGAATAGCAGCATTGGTCACTGCTCTCTTCGTAAACTGTTGTCTGATTTCCAAACAGAAAGATCTTACATGGAAGCAAATCAATGGACTCTGGAATATCCTTGGAAGAGAGATACAAAATGGATTATCCTGAAAGGGGTGTATGTATAATAATTAATAATAAGAACTTCCAGAAAGATACTGGTATGTATCATGATAGTTTTTAAGCCTTTACAAGTATTTGTACCATTTACATTTGGTATAGTATAAAAAAGCAGAATTCATGTTATTGATTAATAAACTGTCATAGAATAGCCATGAAATAAAAACAGAGCCAGGATCCTACGAGTCCTTCCATTCAACATGAACTCTTAAATCTTTGTATGATCAAAATCTCTCCCTCTTCTTTCTGTATGTTGACCTCTTCTGCCCTGACCTCTCTCTTTTTTTTTTTAATTTATTTTTCTTTTTGGCTGTGCTGTGTCTTCATTACTGAGTTAGGGCTTTCTCTAATTACAACTCGCAGGGGCATGTGGAGCATGCGGGCTTCAGTAGTTATGGCCCACAGGGCTTAGCTGCCCCGTGACATGTGGGATCTTTCCAGCCAGGGATTGAACCCTCGTGCAGATTCTTAGACCACCAGGGGGGTGAAGGAAATGGCAACCCACTCCAGTAGTCTAGCCTAGAGAATTCCGTGGACAGAGGAGCCTGGAGGGCTGCTGTCCATAGGGTCACACAGAGTCGGACACGACTGAAGCGACTTAGCATGCATGCATGTATTGGAGAAGGAAATGGCAACCCACTCCAGGATTCTTGCCTGGAGAATCCCAGGGACAGAGGAGCCTGGTGGGCTGCCGGCTATGGGGTTGCACAGAGTCGGACACGACTGCAGCAACGTAGCAGTAGCAATAGCAGACCACCAGGGAAGTCCCAGGCCTGACTTCTGTGGAACCCTTACTTCTTTATCTTTGTGCTCCCTCTTTCATGTTAACGGAAGGATCTCACCAAATAGTAAGGAGAAGTATTCTTCCTTTCCAGGAACTGCGTGAGGCACCTCACGGAAATCTTCTTTAATTCTCCTAGCAACCCTGAAAAGTAACGGCCATTAGTTACGGAAAGGTGAAGAGTCTTTGCACAGAGTCCCACAGATGATTTAGTAGCTGGACCTCTCGGCCTTGGTGCGCCCGACCTCCAGCCGGAGCTGGGGATCCATCCCTGCACCCCTTCACCTCCTGTGCCTTCATGTGTTCTGTTGACTTTGTCTTCTCCCCCTGGAAAGAAGACAGACTCCCCACCTTAAAGAGACCTTATTTTCTATAAGCCTGCTGCCCCTTAAGCTTTGATCTGATTTTCGTCTCCTTCCCTAAGTCTTGAAAACGCGTGTTCTAAACTTGGCCTCATGTTTCCACTACCTCAACCGCTCTATAGAAATTGCTCTTAGGGTCACAATAGCCTGATCCCCAGAACCACTTCTCTGTCCCTGTGCATGTCTGGCTTGAATCTAATCGTATATTTCAGAGGTTTTTTTCTTTTTTTTTAAGAGTATATGAAAAATAAAATCCCTCATGATCCTAAAAATGCTAATTAACATCCTACCATATTACTTGTAAGTTTTCCTTAACAGTTCCTTTCAAAGTTAAATTTACCCATAACATGTAAGCAATATTCCTGCATATTCCATTTAATGTAATGTAAGCATTTTTTGTGTTGTTGTATAATTTTCATATCTGCTATTGTAATGATTATAATGTCCCATTCCCGAAATATAGTGTTCACTTGACTTGCATAATTTACCATATGAATCAACACTTTGGCTGTCCCTTCATTTTTTCACTTTTAAATTGGTATCGTGATTAACTCTGAATTGGCATATTAATCATATTAGAATTTTAATTAAAGAAATTAGAATCTCCTGATTCACTTTAGGAGGCTATCTATCATAATGCTGGTGAAAAGGGAAAGAAGTGAAATTACACTGGAAAAGTAAGCAGGATTGGGTGTTAGATTCATTATAAGGAATAAGGAAAGCGTAGTTGAAAATGAGTGTCTAAAACTGGCCCGTTTATATTGCTTTTGGCTCTAAGTTGAGAGACCACCTTCAACCTTAGGTACTCTGCCTCACGTTGCTAATTATAATGCCCTCTTCCCACAGAATTCTACATTGTTGAACTTATTGGGGTTTTGTTTTTTTCTTCCAGTTTTATTGAGATATAATTGACACACAGCACTACATAAATTTAAGGTGTGTGGCATGACTGGACTTCCATGCATCATGAAATGATGACCATAATAAGCTTAGTGAACAGCCATCATCTCATATAATTAAAAAGCCATCATCTCATAAAATTAAAGAAATAGAAAAAAGTTTTTTCTTTGTGATAAGATCTTTTAGGACTTACTCTCTTAACAATTTTCATGTATAACGTACAGCATTGTTAGTTATGTTCATCGTGTATACGTTACAGCCCAAGTTTCCCAGGCAGCTCAGTAGTAGTCAATCCACCTGCCAATGCGGGAGACATGGGTTTGATCCCTGTGTCAGAAAGATGCCCTGGAGGAGGAAATGGCAACCCACTCCAGTATTCTTGCCTGGAGAATCCCATGGACAGAGGAGCCTGGCCGGCCACAGTCCATGGGATCAGAACGCAACAAAACAACAACAGCCTGAGTGCTTACTTATCTTTAAAGGGGGTGGGGCATGTTGTTCTACTCTCTCCCCACACTACTTTGGCCCATAGTCTGACTTTACCTTTTACAGTGAGCTCCTTTTCTGCCTTGAAATTTGAAGGTCGGGTTCTCAAAACCATCTCTGAGACAGCCTGGTGTTTTCTGTTCAACTACTAAGTAGCTCACAAACCAGGGCCAGAATTTACTTGCTTTGTCACACGAGTGCGTGGTGTTCCCTGCCTTTTCCAATGTCAAAACCTTGATGAACTTCTCATTTTGTAAAAAATAACATACGGCGCTAAGTTTCAGAAATTACAGATTAGCAAAAGAAAAAAATTTAAATCATTCGTAATCACACCACTCAGAGACAATCAACAATAATTTGGAGCTGGATACATCTAGTTTTTTTTTTTATTCATATGTGTTAAGTTTACTCAATTCCGGGTGCCTTCCCCCTGCTATGCCTAACACTTTAGATTTTTAAATCGGAGGGCATTGTTCAGTCAGTCCACACATGCATGTGGAAGGCGCTCTAAAGGGGCAAGGAAAGCATACAGGCATACAGGCAGTATGCAGCAGCCACAGTGCCTTGTTCGAGTTCTGGACTCGTCTGTGCTGTGGGTCCCACATCTCTGCAAATGAAGCCGGTCGTGATCATGGTTTCATGGTGGTCGGAAGGCTTAGAGGCTTTTGAACAGTGTTGATGTGGCCTAGTGGTTTGTTGGGGGGTTTTTTTTGCTTCCCCTGAATAGATATGATGAAACTACTGATTTATCTTAGAATTGTTGAAAACTTAAGAATCAAAGAAATAGTTCCTCTGAGTGTGTGAGGTATGTGTTGATATATATGTCTATGTATGGTGATGTGTCTGTGTTTGTGTATGTTTATGTGTCTGTGTATAATTTTTTCTTAAAAGTAGGATCCTTAAAAAAAAAAAAAAAAAGTAGGATCCTTTTATTTTCTACTCTTTTTTTTTTTTTATAACAGTGACCATTTTCCTATGGCAAAATTTTGTCTATAAAATTTCAGTGGCAACATAGTATCCCATATTATAATTGAATTGTAATTTATTGAACCAAACCTCTCTTTTTAGGCATTTAAGTCATTTGTTTTTCACTATCTAAGCAGCTGTGAAAAGCATCTTTGTGACTGTAACACAGATAACAGATTATATAGTGAAGTGTCTTGTATGCGAAGAAATAAAAGAAACTTTCTGTCACCTCTGTCAGAATATTGAATTTGCTTAGCATTTGAAAGGAAGAGTTTCTTGTGGATTGTGTGGATTCCTGAATAGTTTATTTCAAAACAGTTTATCTTTTTTTTTCATGCAATTAAAAATAACTTTCTGTTCAAGGCATGGAATGTCGATCTGGTACAGACGTGGATGCAGCAAACATCAGGGAAACCTTCATGAACTTGAAATATGAAGTCAGGATTAAAAATGATCTTACATGTAAAGAAATGTTGGAATTAATGAGCAACGGTAAGAAATAATGAAAAGAATGACCTTCATTGTCCAATGTATATACAGTCTAGCTCTAACCTATACAAAAGTAAAGCATGAGAATTGTGAAACTAAACTGTACACAGCCCTACTGTATACATTTTATGTAAGTAAAACAAGTTATTCATACCAACTCCCTAGAGTAGTCTGAGGTGTGTTGCTATGCCCCAAGCTGGGTTTACACAATCTCTTAGTTCGGTTCTCAAATTTCTTCATCTTACTCCCATACAGTATATATGAAATTGTTGAATAAAATTGCATTGGTTTTTTTGTCTGTAAATGTTTTTCCAGTTTCTAAAGAAGACCATAGCAGAAGGAGCAGTTTTATTTGCGTACTTCTAAGCCATGGTGAAGAAGGAATCATTTTTGGAACAAATGGACCTGTCAGTCTGAAAAAATTAGCAAGTTTCTTCAGAGGGGACTATTGCAGAAGTCTGACTGGAAAGCCCAAACTTTTCATTATTCAGGTAATAGATAACTGAGTGATTTGGTTATTGAGGCTTCATTAGGGATTAATTTACTCCATTGTGGATTATCCAAAGGATTTAAAAAATTTTTTTTTCTTGAAGCTACTAAACTATTGCTACTTTTTTATTTATTTAAACCACCACTTAGGAGACATAACATAAACTTTAATTTTTAGACTTCTAGCAAAATGATTCTGAATAATTAACATCAGTTTTTACAGAGCCTTTGCATTTCTTAGGAATAAGTTACACATTTATGCATGTACACACATTTTTGTTTCCCAATAAATGTTTCTTTTCTTTTTTTCTGATTTTTAAATAGGTGTTTATTTTCTAACCTCCAGGCCTGCCGAGGCACAGAACTGGACTGTGGCATCGAGACAGACAGTGGTGCTGAGGATGACATGGCCTGTCAGAAAATCCCGGTTGAGGCAGACTTCTTGTACGCATATTCTACAGCACCTGGTAAGAAACGTACAAATACTGAAATATGTAGATTTCAAACAATGAAGAGTGTGTTCCAAAGGCTGTAGGGATTTTGGTATCCGTAAAAAGCCACTGTGTCTGATTTTAGGGTACCCTAACCACAGAGAAGTCTCCAAAAGTTGTCTTTAGCCCAGTTTGACTAGAAAGTGCGCCCGTGTAAGAAAGCACCCTTACACAGTGTCATTCATGAACTTGACGACATGTAGAAACCATAATAATTCAGGTCAAGTCAGAGCTTCGCCCACTTCCTGAAACAGGAGAGAGGTGTATTTTCCAGGAATTCTTTGGGAGGTAGGAAACTGAAAGTATAAACATGAATAGCATATGAGTGGGTAGAAGTGGAATGAGAGAAAAGAAGTTTAGAAATGATTTATGACTAGGTTATCAACCTCCGCTTTGTCTATGGTTGTATTACACATTATGCGTGTGTGCACTTGTCATCATAAAAATTAATATATATTGATCATGTACTTGTTTACTCATACAACTAACTCAGGGTGTGTTTGGAAAGTTTGGAAATACAGGGCCAACGTATTTTTAAACAGTATTACATTTTTAAATATAGTCAATATGATTTATTTTAACCTCCAGGCATCTTTCCAGTTCAGATTAAAAGCAATGGATCCAGGGACTTCTCAGTAGTCCAGTGGTTAAGACTTGGTGCTTTCACTACTGTGGGCCCTGGTTCCATTCCCCAGTCCAGGAATTAGGTCCCCCAAGCCACTCAGCGTGGCCAAAAACACAGCAATGAATCCACTCGTTTATCTGGGAAAAGAACAATAAATACACTCTTTCCCCTTTCTGGACTTCTGAATGTGCTATACTTTGTCTGTTATACACCATTCTGATGCCCTGCAGACAAATTTAAGACCCTCAAATATGTGTGCATACATAAGCAGGTTGTTTCTTGGATAAGCCAATCATCTCACTGCAACACCATGCTACTTATAATGATCCTTTTTTATTTCTTTGCTTTTGCATTTTCTGCCTACAAACCCATTCTTCCCTATTGGAAGGGAAGCCCAGGAAGTAGAATTCTCACTCAGTGGTGCAGTTAGCCTGCAATTGTTTTCCTTGTCAAAAGCAGAGCTATATAGACAACACCTACTTGGTTTTTGTTTTGTTTTCCCCTGGAACCAAAGTTATGGTATATTTTCCTTTTTATGGTAATAATACTTATGCATGTTTATGTTGTTTTTACCTTCATGAATATGTCACAATTGATTAAATCAGCTGACATCAACTATCTGTTATATTTTGCCCTATAGGTTACTTTTCCTGGCGAAACTCAAAGTATGGATCCTGGTTCATCCAGGCTCTTTGTGAGATGCTGAAAAAGTACGCTCGCGACCACGAGCTCATGCACATTCTTACTCGGGTTAACCGAAAGGTAGCGATAGAATATGAGTCCTTCTCCACTGATTCTACTTTTCATGCAAAGAAGCAGATTCCTTGTATTGTGTCTATGCTCACAAAAGATCTGTATTTCTAATCAATAAAGACACAGATGATTTTTGTTTTTAATTTGTATGCCAGGTGAGCAAACGGTGTAACTGGTACTATATTTTCCTCTCACTTCTAAATCTAACCTAATGACCCAGGTGATAACTTTGAAACATGCTGACTTCCTAGCAATAAAACTACTGTGCAGCTACCTCAAACACAATTGGGTAGTTGAGATTGAGTTTAATGAAGATGAAATAAAAATGGATCGTGGAAATCATTATGAGAAGAAAATGACTGTAAATTAGCACTTCTCTTAATTAGCAAGGTTTAGTGCCGATGCTATGCTACACATTTTCAAGCAATGATGGAAAAAGTTAAACACTGCAGTAGTGTATTTCAGCGATGTGGGTATGCCACTGTATCAGAGAACATGTGATGGTTTTTGTCAGGCAACAGCAATGATGACATGGAACGATGTATACTAGAACTTGGTGTCGTCTAAGACTTGAAGACCTTGATCTTAAGACAATGGTATTTTTACATCACCTATTTGAGCTCATGGTTTTGTGATATTTATGCTGAGCATGTCTTTGTTGTTTAAAAAAAAATCATGTTTTAGCATTGAAAAAGAACTAAATGTTTTACTTGGGAAGGTATGAGAAAACTAAGCTGACCCTTGAGGGTAAATGCAGGAATCATAAAGGGAGACAGATTGAGGACTATAAGGTGCTGAAATGCAACTCTTCGACCAGCTGCTGGGCCTCGCATACCTGCAGAATATCTAAAGTCTCTTCTGTCAAAACCTCAGACCTCGATCACACTGGTAAGAGCGTGAATTAAAGAAATTCTATAGGACATACATACTAAAACACAACTTAAAGAATAAACAGTGAGGTATAAGGAAGGAAGAGTCAGCCAGTCAGTTGGGCACTCCATAATTAGAAGATGGCTTGAGCCTGACCAGGGACACTGCACAGCCTCTGTGGGGTCAGAGCCATAGATTACAGCTTCAGGAAAAAAATGTGGGCTAGATTCTTCACAGCTGCAGGTGTGTGTGTAAGCTCCAAGAAAGTGAATCAAATTAAACTTCTGAACTGGAAATTTTCCAAAGATGGTAAGAGTCATCATAAAAATCCTAGCCCTCTAATTTTTATTTCAAATGACGGCTTTTAATTGGATGTTAAAGCGAACTCTTATCTGCCTTTCTGCAGATAGCCCATTTTATAAAATAGACTTGACATCACTACCTCTGAATATCAGTCCACTTCTTACTTGACGCTGACGGGGAGAAGATCTGCAGTTTTCAGCTTATCCGGAATTGTGTAAATGAATGCTTAAGTACCTGAGTATGGTTTACAAGAGGCTTTGAGTGTTTGGGGAGAACTCTTAAGATTTCTCTTTCCCCTTCATGGTTAACACGGTCTCAGTCACCTTTGCTGTGTGTGGGCATGGATGTGCCCAAGTGTGCACCTGGCCACTGAACTTTGTCCAGGAGCTCCAATACTCCTGAAGAACAAGTCCTGAATTCATTCCAGAACGTCCTTTTCTGCCATCCCTGAATGTCAGCCCGTAAAAGCAATTTCATTAGCATTTCCTCATTTTCCAGTGGAAGCAGTGAATGCGGCCTGATGGTCTGGACCCTCATCTATCCTTTGCAGAAGATGGGGGAAAAAAATCATAGCACTCTTGGCAGTAAAATTTCTGAGCATGTTAACTTTTATTCTGTTGATGTTTACAATCAAGGGAGAGTGGTACAGTTGTGATTGTATACTTTTCTCTGAAATGAAAGGACCAGGGCACCCAGGACTTGAGCAGTCATCCAGTTTACTCTCCTTGGGCGCCCAAGGAAACTGAAGGCCCTAGATGGGACGCAGACCAGGGAGGTTCTGAGCCTCCTTGCTCAGAACCTTCTGCGTCACTAACCCACTGGCTTTCAGTCTGACGTTTCCCTTGAGCCTTCTTGTGCTAAACAAAGGCACTCACATTTACAAATGAAAGCTCTTTGTTTTGATTGTGTCTGTAACTTTTTCTGAGTAAATGAAGCATGCTGTGGGATCGGAAGATATGTTCCTATGTGACAATTTTTTAAAAAGTGTGTTATTATGCATTTCTATTTCCAAATACAAATTTTAATTTAAAATGACCAATGTGTTCAAGTTTCTGTTATTGTTTCTGATGTGCTGCTAATTGAAGTTAAAATATTTTTAATCAAGAGCTTGATTTGGGAGGACCAACGACGATGCAACGGGACTGTTTAATCAAACACTTTGAGATGGTGGTAACTTACCAAATAGGGTAAGGAGCCTTCCTGTTCCCTCTAGGCCCCTCTCAGAAGGCCCTGTTTTCTAAAATTACATGATGCCAGGAAGGATACTAAGTTCTCACAAACCACAGCCCCTAAATATGACCATATTTTTGTTTGTTTCCTTGCTTTGAAGAATGGGGAGTAGCAGAGTATAAAGGCTATCGCTGAAATGAATCATTTTCCACCCATAAATTGTTAACAGGGCTAATGGGGGAGGGGGGTATAGAATAAACCATTGATATTCCCCGACGGTCAGCTCTGGGAGAGGTGTTATGAGAGGGGAAGGATTTCCCTTTTTAGTTTACCTCCTTAACAAAGGAATATAAGTGCAAACATGAGTGGTTTGCATTTCTTCTAATATTTCTGTAGTAAAGGTGCATTACTTTTAAGTCAGAAAACTAAAATTCTCCTGATTGGGAATTAAGGGATCCCTGTTTCCAGGGAGTGGAGGGCAGCAGGAATAACTCCTTTAAGGCTGTTGTGGGAACTTCCTTGGTGGTCCAGTGGCTAAGACCGTGCTAGGAGTGCAGAAGACGGAGGTTCAATCCCTGGTTAGGGAACTAGGTCCTGTGTGCTACAACTGAGACCTGGGCATAGACACATAAATTACTTTTTCAAGAAAGACTCTTTTAAAGCTGTAGTTTTGTAGTCCATTGACAGTTGAGCCCATTCTTTTGTTGTTTAGTCACTAAGTCATGTCCAACTGTTTTGCAACCCCATGGGCGGTGGCCCTCCAGGCTCCTCGGTCCACAGGATTTCCTAGGCAAGAATACTGGAGTGCGTTGCCATTTCCTTTTCCAGGGAATCTTCCCCCACCGATCCAGGGATCAAACCCGCATCTGCTGAATTGGCAGGGTGATGCTTTACCACTGAGCCACCAGGGAAGCCCTGAGCCCATTCTAATCTGCTCAATATAATAGACTAAAAAAGACCAAGAACCAGATAGAAAAATAAACCAAGGGCCGTGAACAGACAGTTCACAGAAAAAGACCAAATATCCTTTACACCTCAGAGGAAGAGATTAATCATCTTAATAAGAGAAATGCAAATTAAACTAAGGTATCATCCGTCGCCTGTGAGACTGACAAAAATCCTCAAGTTTGATAACACTATGTTGGCTGAGCTGTGGGGAAATGTATTCTCCCACCGGTAAGAGTGCAAAATGTGTGGGGGAGAATCCAGCAATAGCTGTCCAAACATTTACTCTTGAAGTAGCAAGCGCAGGTCTTGAAATTCAAACTAACCTGTCCACGTATAAAAGTATATACACAATTCATCGCAGCATTGTTTTAATGGTACAAAATGGCAGCGACCCAACTGTAAAAAAGATATCCACACAGTGGAACACAATTTGCTGTAAAACAGAATGAGGAGAATCCTCTTAAATGGATAGGCAAGGATCAGCATGTATGAGGAGGTGGGAAAGAATGAAACACAGAACACTATAGACAGGATGTAGTTTGTATAAAAAAGGAATAGGGGTGGGAGGGTATAAGAATATGCATAAAGTGAGGAATGGATAAAGAAGATGTATGTATGTACACACACACACACAATGGAATATTACTCAGCCATTAAAAAGTGAAAATGCCATTTGCAGCAATATGGATGGACCTAGAGATTATCATGCTGAGTGAAGTAAGGGAAACAGAAATAGTAAATGACATCCCAAATATGCGGAATCTAAAAAGAAATGATACAAATGAACATATTTACAAATAAAAACAGACTTAGAGAACCAACTTACAGTTGCCTGAAGGGGAGGGTGGGGGGAAGAGAGAGGTAGTTTCGGGTAGACACATACACACTGCTGTACTTAAAATGGATAACCAACAAGGACCTACTGTATAGCACAGGGAAACTGCTCTGTTATGTGGCCGCCTAGATGGAAGGGGATTTTGGAGGAGAATATGGATACATGTATATGAATGGCTGAGTTCCTTTGCTGTCTACTTGAAACTATTACAACATTTTTAATTGGTCATACTCCAATATAAAATTTTAAAAGTTCTTAAAAAGCCTATGCATAAAGTAGCACCAGAAGGATAAAGGAAACTAATACAAATGAAAATGGTGGATGGGGGCAGAGGTGGAAGTGAGGTTTCTCATGTGTTTCCTTTTCTATATCCTTTTGACATTTTTGTTGTTCAGTCATTAAGTCATGTCTGACTCTGCTGCCCTATGGACTGCAGCATGCCAGGCTTCCCTCTCCTTCACTATCTCCCAGAGTTTGCCCAAACTCATGTCCATTGAGTCAGTGATGCCATCCAACCATCTCATCCTCTGTCACCCCCTTCTCCTGCCTTCAATCTTTCTCAGCATCAGAGCCTTTTCCATTGAATCAGCTCATCACATCAGGTGGCCAAAAATATTGGACTTTCAGCTTCAGCATCAATCTTTCCAATGAATATTGAAGGTTGATTTCCTTCAGGATTGACTGGCTTGATCTCCTTGCTGTCCAAGGGACTCTCAAGAGTCTACTCCAGCATCACAGTTCAAAAGTGTCAATTCTTACAGTTTTGAACATGTCAATAGAGTTCCTGTCTTCAAAAAATGGAAATAAACCAAGAAGAGGTGGGAATGGCACAAAACTATTTCAGGAATGAGAATGTGAATCAGTACGGGGGGTAGGGGTGGAGAGGACATCATAGCTGTGCAATAGCCATGTTCCAGGATTTTGTACAGCTTGTTTATTTTCTTCTTTGACTCAGCGTCTGTACATATGCATTGAGAAATCATAG